AAAAAAAACCTACCTACCAAACTTGACAACTAATAGCAAAATCCTTCAAGGTGGACACCTATGTTCAGCAGTGGACAGTTAACGGCTGACATCATCATCATCACTGATAGAAGACACCCTTGAAAAGATAAAAATATAATGTATCCTTTAGTAAAACAGTCGTTATAAACTCGGCTTCATAAGTGTTGTGTTTCTTGTTATTGTTGAGTTTCTTGCGGATTCTTCTCAACAGATACCAACATCCTGAACCCAACAGTAGAATATAAAAAGAATACAATTTAAAAGAGTTTGTAAACAAGTCTATTTGATTAAAGATTATTTCTATTCTATTCTATTCCGATACAACAGTAACACAATAGGTATCTTCAAAAACATTCATACATACATACATATCTGTCACGCTTGTCTCCCATTAGGGTAGACAGAAACAATGGAACGCCAAATGCTTCGATTCAAACAAACCTCAAAAACATTATCATGATTTTTTCAAAAATGTTTTATCTCACAGAATGTATGTACACATTTATTCGAACACAGTCTAGAGAATAAATTTAGGAAATAGCATACCCTTAACACCGGTTAAAAGAAAACCTACTTTAAATATTGTTGGATAAGAACGAATACGACTTGAAGTTTTATATAGGATAGGTACCACTAAAGATAAATGTCTAAGATTGCTTTTATGACAAAATGCATGTAAGTTCGAAGTAATTTTATCTTTATGGCAGAGTTTTGACGATGCATACTTACGGCCTTTGGAAGGGTTTAGTTATAGTATCTTCATACTAGATACACTTGACCTACTGGGTAGACAGAAAAATCCGAATGGCAAATCTTAGAAGGAAGGAAAAGGATTGTTAAATTCAGCTACTGGCTCATTGCAATCAGTATACAGTCTCAGATCGAACTCCAATTGGTTCCTCCAAGTAAACCATCATATTTGATTAGAAATTAATAAATGAATGAATGAACAAATGATTTAATGAATAAATGAAAGAATAAATAAATTAATGAATAAATGAATGGATGAATAAATTTAGAATGAATGCAATTTATTGCTAAATATGTAGTACATTAAATGATGTCGTCATAGTCGTAGAATACTAACGGATCTATATATGTAATATTTGTCAGATCCGTCAGTATTCTACGACTATGACGATATAGTAATATTGCAAAATTGGGGGGAAAGGGATTGTTAGTAATGGAGACTAAGAATCCCATTGCTAGCAATATACCCAACCAAGTCGACCTCCTCGTGATTCCCCCTGGAAACTATCATGATTAATTCCAAATGAATTCATCATGATGGGCTAGCTGGCCTGTTTTCATTCTCATCGATCACCCTTCACTGGTGCCCCGCCAGCGCATCCCATTAGCGCAGGCGAGGTTACTAATCCATTTTCACCCAATAAAAAAATTGCAAAATTTAATTTTACACATTTTTTCATTACTGACATGCAACAGTCATTACAAAGTTATGACAAAGTAAATCTATATAATAAAATTTGTTAAATATATATATATATATATATATATATATATATATATATATATATATATATATATATATATATATAATCACGAGGAACCAACTAACATGCCTTCATTCTCAACTATCCTCCCTTACTAATATTCAGCCAACATATTCCATTAGCGCAGGCGGGGTTACCATTCCATTAGCATCCTTTTAAAAAGTTATTCGCTGGAGCTCTATTTTCGACTACTTTCTTAATACGTCTAATGCATATATGTCTTAAATTTTAATTATCCTTATTCAAATAAACTTGTTTTCAAGCACTTTTAAATATTCATTTTTTTTAATCCACTGCAGGGTTCGAAAAGTTTTTATCTCTAGAGATGAACCTACAAGAAATTCAACAGCTACTCTTTTAAATAATAATAATAATAACTTATACATCTAATAACTAACTTATAATACTTATAAATCTCTGTTAACATTATGTGTATTTATTTAAATGTACTATGTTTAAACTTACATATTTGTTAAAAGAACGTGCATGTTCGATTTACACCATGCACATTGGTCGTTCAAGTAATCGTTTAGTCTGTAATAGGCTTTGTTCAATAAGTGTTTTTAACAACAGTTTTAAGTTTATTGAAAGACAGATCCAAAATATCCTTCGGTATCTTATTATAACATTTAATGCCATTCCCATAAAAGACCTAATAAACTTTTTCTGAACGATACTTCGGAACAGCAAGTTTATATTTGTATCTAGTGTTAAGATTATTGAGATCGCTGTTTTTAAGAAACAGTTGGAGATTCCTGCGTATATACAAAATGTTCTTAACTCTACACTTAGAATAAAATATGAGTGTAGGATTTGTACTCGCAATTACTACAAGTTTATGAAAGGAAGGAACGAATGGCTCTTCACTGTTCCTTATGTCTACCTATAAAGGAGAGATGCTCAACAATAATTAGTTGAAATAATGATGCTATCTTGAGATGATTTTGCAGGTAGGTAAAATTTTTGACCAGAGGGCGACTTTGTACAAAAGTCGATTGCTTGGGTACCTCTGTCCCATGTGTGTTTGCATGACTGTGTTTCGGTTTGAAGGGTGGGATATGGCGTAAATTTACAGGGTACGGAGGAATAACACCTGAGTCCTCAGGAATGGCAACGCATGGGGGGTATCATGGGCGAAACAGTATACTCTGTTATATCCATGGTACTGCTCATGTCTATAGGCGACGGTTACCACTTTCCATCAGGTGGGCCATCAGCTTGTTTACCATTCTAAGTTGTATAAAAAAAAGTAAACTTATACAGCAAAATCGTGCTTGTTTATTAATGTAGCCAAACGAAATATTTTATTACAATATAATATTAAAATTGGAAGAGAATTATTGGCCGACAACATATTTCATGGTTAAATTTAACATCGTAATAAGTATCGGCGCAGAAGCGGCTTAAAGGTTATTAAGTTGTGATAGGCGAGGCCTCTAGGTAAGCGCCTTAACAACTTACCTCGCAATCTGTCTATTTTATACTTCGTGTACTCTGTAATTTTAACTTTTATATTTTCAGACGTTTTTTTTTATTATTTTTTTCTTTTAGTTTACCATCCCAATGTGCCTCACTATGAATTGGGATTCGATTAGAAGCCGAGACAGATTCATTGTCATCACCAACATATTAGCCATTCTCCTTCCATTGCTGGACATAGACTGCCATAAGGAACAGTCCTGAATCATCTGTGGCCACTGTCTTGCTGCAATGCAATTAGGGTCGTCATTCCATCTAGAGAAAGGTCGTTCTGCGTTTTCCCGTACAGAGTCGCCACTCAAAAACCTTTTTTCCGGAATGGATTGCTAGTTTAAAATACATATAAAGATAAGATAAAGAAATATTTATTTAACAAAGTATGTTTGTATTAGCACAGAATTTATCATTGCTTCCTACACTAGGCTGAGCCTGTCCTGCAGGAAGCAAAACTCGTGTTATCATGTACATGCATATAGATATTAAACATAGGCTTTTTAGCATTTTATATATGAAATAACTAGCTATATTTATAATTGTTTTTGTCTGTGAAGCAGCAGTGTACTGTAAATGGTTATAATATAAATTTGAACGTACAAATAACTATGTACTTATAAAGATAGATAGATAGGTAAATAAACACTTTATTTCTTGGTACCCCCCCCCCAACCCGCCGTACCGCGCGACCGCAATTTACGTGACTACGATATTTCTTTTTTTTTATAGGTTATAAAATAATCATAATTTAACTGAAAATTCGTGGAACATAATTCACGTTGCTGTAGTAGATCCATTATCTATATGAAATGGCAAACTATTTAGTTTACGACTGTTTCGAAATATATTTCGATTTGTGCTGAGAATACGTGATTCGAAAAAATTACTTCGAATTTTGAAATTTTATTTGGAGAAAGGATTCGAATCACTATCTCGATTTCGAGATTATGTAGAATAGACTTAATGTAGAAAGAAACGAGATTTGGCCAATAACAAAAATTTTCTATGTCAATTTTATTTTCTACTAACTCTCTGGTTATGAAGGAAACTGTACAAAAGTCGTTTGCTTGGGTACCGCTGTCCTATTCGTATTCCTACCGTGAAGCAGTTGTGTTTGCATGGCTGTGTTTCGGTTTGAAGGGTGGGATATGGCAGTGAATTTACAGGTTACAGAGGAATAATACCTGAGTCCTCAGGAATGCATGGGGGGTATCATTGGGGAAACACTATATTTTGTTATGCCCATGGTACTGCTAATATCCAAAGGCAACGTTTACCACTTTCCATCAAGTGGGCCGTCAATTTGTTTGCCATTCTATGTTGCAAAAAAAATTAAAAAGCAAAATTATCCAAGGACAATGATAGGATCGTTACCATTCACGTTGGATTTGGGTGTGTTTAGCGAAATGCAGGTACATCAAACTAAACATTCTAAATATAAAAGTAATAGTCGAAAAATGTTTATAGTAAACTCATTAAAAATTATACTTTATATTTTTTTTATTCTATCACACATCCGGCTTTGTTAATTATATTTTTTAACATATATGAAAATCATGAAAATCAATTATCAAGAGGTGAAGAGACTCGCTGAAAATCGTAGTGAGTGGCAAGAGCTCCACCGACAAGAGCGCAGCTCTTAAATGGATAGATATATGAAAATCATATTCTAGTATAAAAAAAAAAATGTCTTGTGAAATAGACAAACAATTTTTATAAAAGTATGAAAAAAATTAAAAAGATCTATTAGTCTGAGCAGTATTCTGTTTATGATTAAAATATTGCCGTGATAGTGAAAGTTTTGTTCTTTTATTTATTCTCTATTTCTTATTGCCTCCCAATAAAAATATCTTGATTTTAAAATAAACAACAAAATTATGTAACACAACTCTTTTTATAAATACAATCTTCTTTATGTATCTTCTTCTTTAGTAATTAAAACAATTATATGTCACTATTTGGCATTTTAGTATTCAGATAAAAATTCTATATTATACTCATAACAATATTAAAAAATTATGGATGAAAATGATTGTTCAAGTCTTGATATTGAATTTAAACGATATTTGCAAATATTGCGCCCCTATTTGAGCCAACTGAGAGATCAATATGTGATCGACGTTTGTAATGCCTGGATTCAAAGGCTTTCGAACTGTAACGAAAAGGAAAAAAGCCATCGAAATAAGTATATATTTGCGTTATGTTATCAGTTAGCTAGAGGTGAACTGGAGGAGCCATTTTTTAAATATCCTGTGAATAATAGCCCACTACCACAACTGCCTGATGAAACATACAGCGACGATTCATCGAGTGAAATAGAATATGTTGATATTAATGGAGATAAAGATAATGCAAAAACTTTATTTAATAATGAAAAGACTCTTATGTCGGATACAGAAAATCCTTCCCAAGACAACGATATTAAAGATTTAGATAAAAACAAAGATAAAGATGTTGGAAATAAATTAGTCGATAAAAAATGCAATATACCAATACAAAATCAAACTATTCTTTGTTATAGTTGTCCAGAAAGTTTAAAGAAACATACTTATTTCAATTTTCCAGAAGACGACTATGAATATAGAACTCAAAATTTAATAAAGAAATTAAGAGAAATAAAAACAGAAAATATGCTTTTACATAATGAATTAATAGCTCTGAAAAAAGAATCTAAAATGAAATCTGATTTTAAAGAATCAGATGATAATATAACTAGAATAGATAATGCAACAAGTGCTTACTTTCATATTAATGAAAGCAATTCAACACTAATGTCAATTAAATTAAAACTACAAGAAGTTCAAGATTCTAGAAAAAATCTTATTCAAAGTATAGAAATACTACAAGAAAAATTAGATAACTACGATGATATGAAAAATCATGAGATCGAAGACATAGAAACTAGACATAAATTGGAAATAATAGCAGTTAAATCTGCAATTAAAGAAGAAATTACAGAAACGTACAAAAAGAAATTTGAGGAATTAAGATATGAATATGAAACTAAAATCGAAGATGTTGAAAATAAAATTATATCTGAAAAACTTAATATCTCCTTCGACAAAGACAATATCATTGCTGAGAAAGATAGTTTAATTAGAAAAAAAGATGCTGAAATTAATCAACTACAGTATTTAACAGAAGAACAAAAGAAGCAATTAGAAAACATTTTAAATAAGTGTTCAGAAAATTCAAAAGACCTCTCTACGGAAAATCTAAAATTTAAAATGGAAGAATTAGAAAAACGATTAAGCAAAGCAGAGAAATCTAAAACCAAATGCATTAAGCTATATGAAGCAAAACTAGCCCAATTACAAAAAGAGAAGCATATGACTGAAAGCTCATTACAGCTCCAACTAGCCGCACAGAGAGCCCAAACTATTAATGAGATTTCTGACGAAAACCAATCTGATTTGATTACAGCTTTAAACAAATTGGAAGTTAAATATAAAAATATCGTTGCTAACGTTCAAGCTACCACTATTCAAAGGAGATTGCATGACCAGGCAGCGTTAGATTCTTTAATTAAAAAATCATGCGGAATTCAAAGTGAAAATATGTGTGGAAATTATACGCCGGGAACAAACCATACCCAATCTTCAGGTAGACCATCGCAAAATCAGGGCAGAGACGAGAATCAAAGCTACGATAGTGAGATATCATCCCTAATGCGAGGTAATAGAGTTGGTAATGTTGTTGTAGGTAATAAATCATTCGGGGAAGATAGCATAATAGCCGGATATTGTCTCGATGGGGAAAGGATGGGTCAACTATTCGAGAGAGTATGCATTCCTCAAAGGGACATTGGAGATGGGTCTCTGAAGAAGTAGTTAAACAATCCGCTAACTATTTCGAGAATGCTTTGTAAATAAACTTGTTATATTATAACAAAGTGAAAAGTTAAAACATAGGCTTAAAATAGCGTTGCTAATGTGGTACCTAACGTATGTAGTGTGTTTAAAGTATCCAATTCAAATACATATTATAAATAATGTAAATAAATTATTTGGGAAATAATATAATAAAATTTAAGCGGTTGACGGTCTTATTTGTTTTTATTTTAAAAATGTTTATATCTAAATACTTACACTATATTGTCTGCTTACTTTGCTGGGTTATTAAATGAGATAATAATTTCTGCAGAATCCAGAATATACTAAATCCCATTAAAGTTCAGCTGTTTAAGTACAACGAACGTCTAAACATCGAAACATCCTTACAATTTTCACATTATTTTACAATACTAATATGCAAATCGACCCTGTGGTCCCGGCATAGAATAGGTCACCCCTTCTTTCCCGTAGGTGTCGTAAGAGCAACTAAGGAATGGCGGGGAATGAAGAACGGGACACTGTTCCTAAAACATCTCCAAATCCTAACTGCGGTTGCCATTCCGCCTGCCAAGTACGCCAACTACGAACAAATCCCAAATCCCCTTATTGTGGAGACTTATGTTCAGCAGTGGACAGTTAAAGGCTGAAATGACGATGATGAGACTTTGGAACTCAGTTCTCTCTACCAACTCCAAAAGATTTTACAAGTAACGTAATTTTTATAAGCTCTTAATATACATATAAAACAATGTTGAAGGTGGTGAGTTCACGGTAATACATACAGATGGTTTTGCTTCGAGACACGTTCTACAAACAACTCTGGGATTCGCTCAACTTTTGTTTTGTGTTTGTTTCTTAGTACTACATTACAATTATCGATCGAAATTAAGTTTACCTGTTGATCTTTTGTTTGTATTCGTATTTTGGTGTTAACGATCAGTCTTATTTCTTTACATTAAAAATAATTCGTCTTCATCTCGTGAAAATTTGTTTATTTGTATTAAACAGTCTTAAAATTAATTTAGGTTAATTATTTTAACACTATTTAATAGTTTTAACACTGTTAAATATAATAGTTTCTGCACTTAGCTTATCTATAAGAGATAGCTATTTTTTTAATAACTAGTTTAAATTATTTGCGCTCTTTTATTCTCTCTGTTGGAAAATGCAAATAAAGTGTACTTTTATTCACTCATTCATTATACCAAACGTTCGTACTATGTAACAATTTTAACTAGTACGTAACGATTAGGCATGGACATTATCGCTAAATTTCATTCGTTATCATTTAGTGAAATTATTATTTTTATTCACAGTGAAATTAACTGTGAAATGTGATAATGTGATTTGCGCTCACAATGATTTATTGCCACTCGCTATTATTTGCTATTAAAGATGATATTTAAATTATGATTTATATGATACGAGCGAGCGAATAGAGATTTAAAAGCATTGTAATAAAGACGCTCGCTCTGCACGGCCCAGTCAGCTGTATGCTGTGATTTCACATCACCACTAACCGAGCGTAGCCGATGACACACGAATGATTCCGAACGCAGCAAGTATCTTCGATTTCCTTAAAGAGTGATTTGTAGCATTCTGTACAAAGTAACATAGCATGAGTGACGTATGATTGTATATAGCATATGATATTTCACATGATACACGTGAAATATTCCAAGCCTAGTAATGGTATACCGCACCGTCCGCGCTCTAACAGCTGTGCACTCTAATCTGAATTAAAATGGACCACCGCAACTAGTTAGTGCGAGCTGTTGCGAAATTGACTGCGGTGGATCTATTCAACGAAATGGATGAATATTTTAAACACAATGTCCCTGAATTACTATTGTAGTTTTGTTTTGGATATCCATTTGTTCAAATACAACAGAGTAGTACAGAAGTGTTTGCTAATTCTGTCCCACTCGTATTTTTGCCGCAAAGCAATTTTGCTTATCATCAATATCGTTATTTCAACCGTTATCTGAGGGCCTACCATGAGTGTTTTCCGAAATTTCGGAGCCGAACGTAACACAAATTTGATGTTAAAATTACATAATATTTACCGTTTATAAACATTAATAATATTAAAATATGATTCCTTTTGACTTTTATGGTAGGATTTATGACGAACGAAATGCTAAGCTCCATTTACTGGGCCAATTTATGTATAAACGAGAACACGGAATTGAGTCCGAAACTTCGGAATTTCATTTCATGGTAGGCCCCCTGTCCTCTGCTGAACAGAAACCTCCCCCATACTACAATTTTTTTTTATGCAACTTAGAACTTTAGACTTTACCCAGTAAATTCACGCCATATCCCATAACACTAGTACCCATAGACTAGTACCCATAGACTGCTATAACTATTGGACGCATGAGAAGTATTATAGGCGAAACAGTATGTTATGTCCATGGTACTGCTCATATCTATAGGCGACGGTTACCATTTTCCATCAGGTGGGCCATCAACTTGTTTGCCATTCCAAGTTGCCAAAAAAAGGAACGTAATGATGAAGATTGCTAGTCATGGCCAAGAATACACTCAATGTCAGGCCTATCTCCCCGGAAACCTTGGTTTATTCCTGTCGAATTCGTCACACATAGATAGATAGATAATTTATTTGCATTACTTAGAGCACACAAATTACAACATATATAGATATACATATATCAAGATAACGTAAATGATTAAAAAAAAATACTAAATGCTAAATAAAATTTTTCATATGTGCGTGTGCCATAACAATACAAAATGGTCACAACACAGTTTATTGCTTCGCCCTCAAAAGAGCAAAGCACTGATATTCTGTTGCGGCCAAAGGGAATAGGGTAACAATAAAACAATACTACCAGATTATCCGTACAATAAAAAGATAGATAGATATACAGTAAACAGACAGATATGACAGTTTATCTAGCAGACAAATGGAACATAGAACAGAACTTCATCCATTTCTACTTCTCTCTCGTACAACGAATACATTAAGAATTAACCACGATGATTACCGAGGGAACAGCATTGGATACTGACACGACAGAATACGATTCCCACCTGCCAGAACTCTGGAAGCAAAATTTTATTTTTACACATTACTTTACTACAAATTTCACAGTCGTCCATATAGTGGAGTTCAGTATAAACCGAAATATCTCTTATCCAATTCCCTAGTTAACGTGTTGACACTCCTAATTCTCATTTATCAAAGTTGTTAACGCCGTCATCAATTACGCGTTATCCAATCGAGTTTGAACTGCAGGGCAGCAGTTTGGGAACACTATCGATAAATAATTGACTTGTTCACAAATGCTTCGTAACGCAAGTTCACTAATCAATTTCAGTCTAGTCACATTTTATCATAATATTGTATGTTAGAAATAAAGTTAAAACATACATTGCGAAATCCGATAAATATATTCTAAGATTGCCTGTAAGAGATGGATATTTAACGATAAAGAAACAGTATACTCTGTTATGTCCATGGTACTGCTCATGTCTATAGACGGTTACCACTTTCCATCAGGTGGGCCGTCAGCTTGTTTGCTATTTTAAATTGTATAAAAAGAAAAAATGCCACCTATTTTTGCCTCTTTGTCTTTATTTTATGTATTGAAGTTTATGTAATTAAGTATACATTTTGTTTTTATATACATTGTTAATCTTTATAACCTGTATCATTCTTTGAACAATAGTTTTCATTCATTCGTTCATTCTATCATCGAATCATTAATTCATTCTTAATTCATTTATTCTTCATTCATTCATTCATTCATTCATTCTTTTTTCATTCATTCATTTATCCAGTCATACGTTCATTCATAGATATGGGAGGAGACCTACACTGACCTATTACTGACCTAACTTTATTATTATAGGTCCAGTATGATTCCGATCAACGTGTATCAAAAACAAAATATTAAAACTCTAGTTCTACAACAGGAGAGAAATTACTTAATTAGTTTTTCAACAATCCTTGCAATGTTACATTAAGGCTGCCAATTTGTTATTTTAAATTTATAGCCGTCATTCTTTTAATGTTTCTAATATCGAATGTTATGCAGATCAGTTATTGGAGTGCCAATTTAATGCTGTTTTATGCAATATTTATTTTATTAATATATTAATTTGTAATCTGTTGCCTTGCTATAAATAAATAAATATGTATATAATCCATCACTTTCATTAAAAATATTTTCAACCTCGTCTCACTTCAAACTATTGTATATGACCTCCCCGCAGCTCCATTCTTCAAAGTAACATACGATTCTGCGGCCCATCCTTCAAGTGACATGGGGTTGTCACTTTGATAGATATTCACTTAGCAGTTTAGCAGCGATCCCTCTTCAAGCTGGGAGGAAGCAAATGCTACCATCACAGTATATAAAACATATACATACATACAAAGTGAAAGGAGCAGGTTGGCCAAAATGTAAACAGTTGATTCAGATGAACGGTCTGAATTAGATAGTAGATTATTTTCCCACAGAAAATGCAACACAGTTATATAATTAACGATTCTTAGACTTGACGTCGCACAATGACCACCTGATCCAGAAATATGGAATATCATATTTTTTTATTTTTATTAACACGTAGCGCCTGGCTAAATTATAATAGCAAAACTTTTATATGTTTTAAGCATTTTGCTTAGAATTAGGTGTAATTAATTATTATTTTTTAAATTTCTAGAAAATTCACATCTCCCCTCTTAAGGAGAGGAGATGGCAAACTAACCCCCGGCAGAAGCACAGTCGGCCCGGGTTCAGGGCCCCAGGGAGAGAACCCGGCGTACAATGCGGGCAGAATCTAACAGCTCCGCTTTCTGCATCTTTCCCGGGAGTGAGCCGCCTCGGAATCCCAACCGTCTGAGATGTTGTTATTATTATTATTATAGTCGTGGACATCAGCTGCATTGGCAGTTTCTAAATTATACTGGCTCAATTCGAGTCCCGACGACTAGCACATGCGTCCGCATCTCTCACGTTGCATTTGGGACACAAGAGTAGAGTCCGGAAGGTAAAGGGAGACATTGTACAAAAGTCGATTGCTTGGGTACCTCTGTCCCATTCGT